TTTTGACTTCAAAATGGCTGTAAAGTATGGTATTTCTATTCTTATTGGAACACTAGAAGAAAGTTGATTTGCACTTCTCGAAAATACTGATGCAAATTATATTCAACATTTGTCAATATTTCTTGCACCCTATGTGTTTGAAAAAATATCAGCAAGACCAATTTGTAGTTTTATGTCTCATGCAGCTACTAGAGGGATGGACCTACTTTGCACCCACTAGCGTTGGGTTCTGGCTCCGCCACTGCTTGGAGGGGAAGTTATCGATGTTGAAATTCATTTTGTGAGTAAGATATGAGCGAGATGAGATTGAATTAAATGAGATGAGAGTGGATAACTTACATTTGGAGATGCTGTGAATCTATAGAGTTAAAAATATGGAGAAAGACCAAAGTAGGACTAAAACATTAAAAATATACTAAAATTGGACTTCCATGTTTTTATTCCTGAAATAGGACATTACCATACATGGTCATATACATTACCAAAAAGTATAGTAATTTGCACATGTACACTGCCACATTACAACATGGCAAAGTCACATTACCCCAAAGTCCTATTTCAGGAAAAAACATGAAAGTCCTATTTTCGTACTTTTCTCTATGTTTTAGTCTTATTTAGGGTGATTTCCATTAAAAATAATAAAAAAATTGAAATTGAAAAAAAATACCTCGTGGCGTAGTGAGGCGCTACAATGGCGCCCGCCGCAAGCTCGTGCCGCATTGCTAAACACACGCACCTCTTTCTCCTGAAATGGTTCTCCGCCGCCCCCCTGTGCCTCCCTGTAGCGCGGCAGAACCCTCCACTGTACTCCCATATTAAGGGGCTGTTTGTTTCAGTCTCTTAATGGTTCAGATGTCTGAATGGTTCAGCACTTAATGGTTCAGACTGTTTGTTAGAATATAAATAAGTCATCTTGGGCCACAACCACAAGCTTGAGCTTTTGGTTGAATTGGTTCCTTGACACTGTTTGTTTCAACCTCTTAATGGTTCAGATGTCTGAATGGTTCAGACATTTGCCTCTGAATGGTTAAGTATTATACAGAGTCTGAATGGTTAAGACTTCTTATCTGAATTGATCAGACATTTGCCTCTGAATATTTAAGCAATATACTGGCTTTTAATGGTTCAGACCTCTTACTAGTTCAGCACTTAATGGTTCAGACCTCTTACTGGTTCAGCACTTACCTATTCAGAAGTTGCCAAACAACCCCTAAGTTTGCGTAAGAGGTAAGACTTTAACGGCCAGATTAAAAGAAATGAGGGCTCGATAAAATAATGTTAGTCAATGGAAAACTATGGAGTATATTATACCAAAGGAAAATTCTTCCATGGACCTGAGGTCCATGATTATTTTATGGACCTTAGTGTATTTATAGCATAAAAGAAGTGAACCTTTTACAAAAGAAAAATATTCACACGCAAGCCTATGAATTACTCCCTCCATCTCAAATTGTTTACATCATTTTCAAGAACGCGTAAAATATCATCTCATTTAAAATTATTTTATTTACAAATTAGTAGAGAAATAAAGATTAAGATATAAATTATACCGTTCAAAAGTATATAAAAATTTTTAAAGAAAATATGCGACAAGATTACTTTATTTTATCAAATAGTTAACAAGAACGAGTAAAAAAGTAAAAGTTATGGAGAGCCCAAAATAATAACTCTCACATTCTTTTTCGGACACAGAGAGTATGTGAGAAGCTTCACATTTTAAATATGGATCTCGGAACCATGTAAGCATTACCTATACCAAAACGGTTTTTAAATCTTTGATATTAGAAAATACGACTTTAAACTTTTTTTATATCAAAATAAAATTTATAATATTAAAATGTGTCACTATTTAATACTCCCTCCGTCCATTTAAGATCTTCCCATTGCACGTTACGAGGCTTGACCAACTTTATTTTCAATTTAATTTAATTTAATTGATTATAAAAGTAAAATTATAAAATAAAATTTATATAGTAATAAACTAAATGAAAAGTTTTACAAAACTAGAGGTGACAAGATAATATTATTTTACGAAATGACTAGTAAAAATAAACAAACTAAGTGAGTGAAGTTTGAGCCTGTGAATAGTGTCTGAAAAGATCTATAGTGGACAGAGGGAGTAATTAATACGGAGTATAAAAACAAATATGGAATGTCAATACTCGATACACATAGTCAAATTGTAGAATTGTAAAGTACCAAGGGTTGAGGGTTCTATTTAAAGAATAGAAACATAGGAGATCTTTTTATTTTTAAATAAATTTAATATTTTAATTCTATTTTGGTAGATGTTTTAAACAGAGTATACTCCCTCCAACTCTAAAATGCTTCAAGTTTATTTTTTGCCCATCCCTAAATACCTTCTATACATATTTATAATGTCTAAGATTCACCATATTTTTTCTTTATTACGGATAGACCATATTTCTCCTTTATTACGGATAGAAACTATTTTGGAGATATTTTCAATAATTTAGTTGGGGTAAAAGTATTTTATGGAATGTGTAAAAAATAAAACAAGAAGTTTTACTTAAGACGGAGGGAGTATAAAATGAGTTCTATCTCGCATCTAAGGTTTATCATTCCATCACGAATCTTTTCACATAAACAAATTTAAAACTTCCGTCCGGCCCGGTCAGACCTGAGGGTGCCTTCGGGGATGAGGCTCATACTTTTTTTACATAAACAAATTAATACATTTTAAAAGTAAAATAATAAATGCATACTTACATAATTATTTACTTCATTCGCATGGAAATGTTCTCCACATGTTGACTTGACACACTAATTAAGTAGACTAAAAAAGGAAATGGGAAAAATATTTCTAGACAGACTAAAAGGGAAAATGAAAAGAACATATCTAGACAGAGGGAGTACTTTTTATGCACGATTGTCCATATTTGTTACGAGTATATGGATTTTAAGTACATACAAAAATCTATCTAGTACATAAGGGCATTTGCAATGGGGACTGTCAATTCCTGCCGCGTCGGAAGACGAGGAAGGCCAACCGGCGATCTTGCAGTGGGGAATACCCGCCAGGCCATATGAGCAACAAAATATATCATGGACTAGTGCGGCAGACTGTCACAATGAACGGCCGCCGCGAATTTGTGTCGGAAAATCTGCCTGGCTTTGCGCCGGACCTGGGGCATGCATCGCGACTTAAATTGCGGCCCTCCTTCTACAATGGCCGACTGGTGCGGCATGGCGTGGGTGTTAGCCTTGGTTTGCTAAGCCTCGTGTTTTGATGTTAACAAACAATATAAGAGCTAAACGTTTGTTTAAGTGTTTCAGGTACAACAAAAATCCATTAGGATTCAATTTTCAAGAATGAAGTCGAAACACTAAACTAGCGTAGAATATAGGTAGAAACCGATGTAAGGATATGATTTTATATACTTATATTCACAAGCTCAAAAGCACTCACAAAATATATTTAAAACCATCCCATAAACATTTTCAAACATTCAAAAGGTTTTAAACTCAAACGAGAAGGATCGCGGGAATTTTGGAAAACTCAAGACAGTGCCACGGTACCCTATATCGTCCCAACGGTAGGGTATACCGCCAACACGGTACCCCAGTACCGTTAGACACCAGGTACCGCCAGAGCCGAATTGGTTTTCTGTGCAACACGGTACCATGTTACCGTGAGGACGGTACCGGCCTACCATGACTGTTGGGTTACTGTTCCTGATTTGTGAATTTGATTTTAATCAATCCTAATCACCTCCCAACGGCTAATTAACATATTCCACTATAAATAGAAGCTTAATCCTTCATATTTTTTAAGAAACAAAGCTCCAAACATCCTCCCTTAATATTCTAAGTGTGTTCATTCTTTTATTAATTATTTTTAATATTTTGGCTATTTCAAGAGCCTTAAATTCCTGATTTTTATACACACACTTTGAGCTTGTGTTTCTAGTTATATACTCTCATATTCATAAGTTTGTGTTGTATTTTTGAGAGAGTATAATTTCCTTCTACACCGGCTAAGTTTTGTTCTTCACTTTTATATTCTAGCCGTTGTGTAGAACCTTTGTTTGTATTCTTTAAACACACCTTCTTACGGTCGAGAATAGCCGTTAAATTCTCACGTTGTAACGGTTAAGGATAGCCGTATGAATCATTGGGTAAAGGTTCAAGGATAGCCTTTGAAATCCTTGGGGGAACGGTAGAAGATAGCCGTTAAATCTTCATTGTATACGGTTCGAGATAGCCGTTGTGAAATCTCGGAGTGAATCCTATTAGCAAAGGTTGTTTGTCAAACTAGTGCGGTGCTTTGACGGAGTTCAAGAGACTGAGACTTAGTGGATTCAGAAATCCTTGAGGAGGAGCCTCGAGGTACTGGAGTAGGGAGTTTCCGAACCAGTATAAATTCGGTGTGCATTTTATTTACACTTTTATATCTGCATATTATATATTGCTTCCGCATTTGCCAACACCATTTTTGTTAAACTCTGAAAAGTTTTCAAACGTCTTATTCACCACCCGTCTAAGGCGTGGGCACAACGACTAACACCGACTAATAACAGTGTGGAGATGTGCGGCGTGACAGACCTCCCTCCCCATTGTAAATGTCCTAATTCTTAGTTGTATAGAGGGAACTCAAAAATATCAATATTCCATCCATCTCAAAGTTTAAATGTTATAAAATAATGTGACCTTAGTTTGAGATAAACTAATATTAAGTTATGGAGTATAATATAAGATTAGTATCATTAAATCTAGTTTGAAGAAATCTAATTCTAGGACATTTTGCATCTAATTACAAATACTAATAATCCATTACAAAGTAGAGACAATGAAGAATTTAACTTAGAAAGAAGAGAGATTATTCTATGGCCCGTTTGATAACAACCTAATATTAACATTTTGAATTATTTAAAATGATACAAATTAATTTTGAAAATACTAAAATCAAATATTAATGTTAAACAGTTTTTCCAAATTGCCAAGCAAACACTATATATATCAATTTACCTTACAATATATATCCATAACTACCATTATTTAAACAATTAGTAAGTGTTTGATTTGTTGGAATTGAAGGCAATAGTGAGTGTTACTTGGTGGTACTAAAGTTTGATAGAGGAATGAGAATATATGTCGGACCAAATATGTTGAAACGCCTCAATAATGTGGCCGTGATACTCGCCGGAATTCAAAGAAAGATAACAAGCAAGAAGCTCTTCCAAATCCTTGGAAGATTTTATCTTGTTCTCCACAATCATCTCCATCATCGATTCCCTGAAATCCTTCTCCGGATCAAACGACGCCTTCACCACCGCTAAGCTCCCGGAAAAGCTCTGCTTCGACGGCTTCCCCCCTGCCGGCGATGAAGACGAGCTTTTCCGGCCCCGGCTCTGCACTTTCGGGTTTCCGATCCTCGGGGAGTTTCCCCGGAGCTTCACTCCCGTCCGGGTCTTGACGCAGACCGACCCGACCTCCGTCTCCCCGGAGTTTCTTGATTTTCCGGGGAGTTTGGTGAGGATCGGCGGGAGGTCCAGCTCGGAGACGCTGAGCTCCTCCATTTGGGATCTCCCGTTGACGTCGAAGACTATGTCGGAGGAGCTGAGAGTGGTCGCCGGAGACCATAATTCAGGGACATCGGAGTTCGACTCCGACATCGGAGAAGGCCTGTAAACGGTCTTTCGCCGGGACCTCAGCCGCGGCGATGTTCTCGGAGGATCAAGAAAGCAGGAATCGGCGGGAGGTTTTGTGCTACCGGCGGGCTGTCGGGTAAAGTAGTATGATTGTCTGGGCTGAGAAATGGGAGGTTTGGGAGAGCAAGCGGGTCGGGTTTGGGTGGTCTTCTTGGTGGGTTGATGGGAAGAGGAATGGGTTCTGGATGATTTGTTGGTCATATCCCTGATCTTGTAAAACCAGGCATTGGGTATCATGTTGGATAATCTGAATCTGTGGTTGCCCATCCAATTAAGAAACTTTCACTTTTCTCTTTCCCCAGAAACTGCAGAGCTTTGCTTAGCTTACTATCATGGTAGAAGAAAGTTGGTTCAGAAATAAAGGCAGGGGCAAGATTTATACTACTCCCTCCCACCATATAATTCAGAGAGCCTAATTTAATGTGATTCTAAGTAAGTGTTTTATGGTCTAGTCTAGTATTCTTGCTTCATTCTAAATTCTATCATGGTACCACTTTTAGTCCATTTCGTTTGTTAAGATATCCCTCTAGACGTTCTTTCCTTGTCGCTAGTCTTTAGTTCAATTGTACATGTGGAATGCATACCCAACGACCTGGGGTCCATTTAACCGTACATGATTGTTCGCTTGAAAGTTCATACTCAGTGGCTCGTGGTACTTAAGGTGTTGGCGCTCAATACATATATTTATTTTATGTATAAAGGTCTATAAAATAATCATAGACCTAAGAAACACAAAAGAATTTGCCCAAATAATATAGACTTGTAATATTTGTTAGAACTCTTTTCAATTTAAAGAGACAAAATGACAGCCAAGGTTCATGTGGTCCAGTGGCATTATGGTGATTTTCCAAATAGAGGGGACATGTTCGAATTCCAGTAAGAATATAAATTTTATGTGCGTTCATAAGTTGATAATGTATGAAAAGATATTGTATTCTAATAGAATTACTAATGTTTGAAAAGAGACAAATTGACAAAAAGTTCAATTGACCAATCAGAACGTGGAGAGATACACACCGATTCAAATGCATTTACATGATGTGCCTAACACACATGATCATGGAAGTTTCATCCTAAAAGTCTAAAACTAATAAGCAATGAGAAGAGAGACCATATACTTATATGTGAGCACTCTTTTTATTCTTTATAATTTTTGCCAATTACACATGATGTGGGTACGCCTTGTAGCAACCTAATAGACCAGAATTTCAGACGACCTAGATCAAGATTTACTCTCGTACCATGATAAAAATCAAGTGAGCCAGTCAAATTGGAAAGTATATAAGGAATAAAATCAATCCCGAGTACGTTCAAGAGCTTTGTGCATGCGTCGTTGTTGACATGAGTCAAATTGGAGCATTATCCTCTTTTACACGTCTTCTTTGTCATTTAAGCTACACACGAGAGCTAGAAAAATGAGTATCTTTGCATCATCATCATCACAAGATGCACACTTTGTTTCATATGCCTCGTAGAGTCATAGTTACTCCAAGTCTCTAACATTATGAAGTATAATTAAAGCGAATGAGAAAAGGGAAAAGTGAAGAGACACAAGGGGTTGATTGTAATATGAGGAACAGTAAGCTGTCATTTGAATAGGTGATTTTTTGGAATGGCTTTATTAATTGCGAGTGCGGAAAGAAGGATGTGTACAAGTATCTATATATGAAACTCTCACCACAACCACATAACATTATTTAATTAATTAAACCTTTCCCAAGCGGAAAGTAAGTATGAAAGGCTATGATATTGCTTCACCAAAAAAAATGGTTGATGCATGACTTAGATTTTTTTTTAAAAATATTTTTATATATATTTACTCTCATTGTTTCAAAATAGATTTTTGATTTGATATTCCAGAGTTTAAAAATAATATCTGTAATAAAGAATAAATTTGTATGATTGATACTCTTTCTATCCCATATATTGAGATTGAATGTACCATGCAAAATTGTTTGACTTCCTTGTTTTGCCTTTCTTAGATTGGTTAATAAGGAAGAATACTCTCCCTGCTCAGCGGTTCTGAGTTTATCGTTCCAACTTGACTTGGTGAAGTTTAAAAAAATGTTAAAATGTTAAAAATGAATGGTTGGAATTTGATTAGATCCGCACATTCTTTATTTTATTAGAAAAGTAAAAAAGTGAAACATTTATTTAATACTCCGTACTTCCTTTAATTTGTCCTATAACTAAAGTCACTAAAGTCTCATTGCTGATAATGAAGCTCGATTGAATTTATTTCAATCTATTTTATTTAAATAACGGTACAAAATTTTAAAATAAAATTTATGTATTTAAAAAGCACATATATTACTTTATAAAGTAATATGTGACATAACCATATATGATTTTTAACAAATGATTATCGAAAATAAGTTGGAAAGAAGAACTTTTAGCATTTTAATAGGCATTAATTAAATGTACCCACTTGAAAATAATTATCAATAAGTCCACTAAAATTTTTTATCGTTAACTAATAGACATGTATTCTCTTAAATGAGATAAATATTTTGATAAATTATACTCCAAAAAAAGTAGAGGGTGAATGAGAAATTGATTCTCAAATTGACCTGTTAAATAGAAACGTATGGTTGATGAATGCATATGCATATTTTATTGAAATAATCTTCAATCACTTTTATACAATGTTTAAAATTAATCCATTTTTATAGAGTTAACTGGTCATTAATTTCAAATTTTTGGGACAAATTTTAAATTGAGTGTAGTGCAATGAATGTGTTAATGGTTATTTAATTACCATTAACAAGCTACTAATGTCCCACTAATGAATAATATTTATTATTATTATTATTGTTATTGTTATTATTATTATAATTACCATTACTATTCTCCTTCTATTTTTTTGAATGCTTCATATAATACGTGAGAAAGAGGGATGAAAGAATAAACCTTTCTTGTTTACTTCTTCAAGAGAGCTCTTGATTTTTCTGGCTAAAATTTCCCGTGATCCCTTTCAAATTTTCTGGTTCGTAATACCCCTACATTGTTCTTGTTCATTGGTGTGTGATTGGTCCGATCCGTACAATCAACACACAATAGCGGTTTTATCCTGTAAAGAGAGTGTTATTAGAGATAGAAGAAGGAAACGGTATTGAAGAAGGAAAGTGTTAGAGACAGAAGAAGGAAGCGGGATTGAAGAAGGAAACCGAATCCCTTTGGGATTAGGTTTAGTTTTCCTAGTTGGATTAGGTTTAGTATTTAGTATCTTTCCTAGTTTGTTTAATTCTTATTTTAGTAGGAATAGAAATTTTCTTGTTTATTTTACCCTCTTCCTATATAAAGAGGGTTAGATCTTTGTATTCAAAACCAGAATTCACAAGCCAATTCAATATACAGAGAATTTCCTCCCAAATAATTCTTTCATGGTATAAGAGCCAATTTTGAATTGTTGAGACCTCAAACACGCATACACAATTCAATGCCTACCGGCGGGATATTGTTTTTTAATTTTTTTGATTATCCTCCATCATTCTTGAAGAAGTGGTCGGATAAGGGTTGTTCTACGGAGACAAACAACTCTTTCCGCGTCTGCTGTTCATGATCGTCGCCTGTTGTTGCTGCCGAAGTGTCGGAACGGTCGACCGTTGCTGAAGAACGGTCGAGTGGGTCGACCTTCCCGACGTCATTTTCTCTTGATCGCGGTTACTGTTCACGATCACCCGACGTCGCGTCCATCGATCATTGCTCAATTTCTGTGGTTTGGAGCAGTTCCCAATTTGTACGTGTAGGAGTTGCACGTGGGACCTGCCGGAGAAGCTCGCGCAAATGCGCGAACTGAGGAAACGTTTCTTGCAGGTTTGGAGCAGTTCCCAATTTGTACGTGTAGGAATTGCACGTGGGACCTGCCGGAGAAGCTTGTGCAGATGCGTGAACAGAGAGAACGTTTCTTGCATGTTTGGAGCAGTTCCCAATTATACGTGTAGGAATTGCACGTGGGACCTGCGGAGAAGCTTGCGCAGATGCGCGAACCGAGGGAACATTTTTTTATGTCCAAGCTGTGCATGTTGAACTCCCATGCTCCAGCTTGAGGTGGGGGTGTTAGAGATAGAAGAAGGAAGCGGTATTGAAGAAGGAAAGTGTTAGAGACAGAAGAAGGAAGCGGGATTGAAGAAGGAAACCGAATCCCTTTAGGATTAGGTTTAGTTTTCCTAGTTGGATTAGGTTTAGTATTTAGTATCTTTTCTAGTTTGTTTAATTCTTATTTTAGTAGAAATAGAAATTTCCTTGTTTACTTTACCCTCTTCTTATATAAAGAGGGTTAGATCTTTGTATTCCAAACTAGAATTCACAAGCCAATTCAATGTACAGAGAATTTCCTCCCAAATAATTCTTTCAAGTGTCCACGTTTTTATGGTATGGTAGGCGGGTACTACTATTTTAAAGACACCTCTGGCGACTCCGCTGCCCTTCCACAATGTTTAGTTTTTTGCAGATTTTGTTCACATTTACCTCTCTGCATTCTGCTCATTCCATAATGTACTTGTTGGCATTCTATTTCTGGCCATAATATACTTGTTGTTGTAGCTAGTGACTTCGCTGCTGCTCAAAGTGTCTTTGTCTCAGTTCGCTGCTTCAGTCCAATACAAAAAATCTTTGTAGTCTAGTGCATAATATTCTTGTACGGCAAGGCTTTTTGAAGACCCAGAAACTACTTTCTGATTTTGTTTATTCTGTAATATTCGCAATAAATAAAATTATAAATTCAAAAAAAAATGTTGTTTTATTTGGGAGCCGTTCGTCTTCCTCCGCTCCTCGTACTGAGACTTTAGTTTTATGGCGGAAAATGAAATATTACTCTTACAAAAACTAACTACCGGTCAATGAAGAAAATTGGTGTGTTTTTTCTTAATCTCTCCACTAGAGTTCGAACTCGTGGCTCTCCCAAATATCGTTTCACCACAATGACAACCACCATTAGTTATTGATTAGTGAGTACGATCTCCGTCCATAAATATTTATCTAGTCTTGACTTTTTGCAGTCAAAATTGATAAACTTTGTCTACTAATTAAATAAAATTGATCTTAGATATATACTCATACAAAAATAATATAAATAGATTTGTTTTATATTATTGTACTTTCAAAACATTTAGGGACAAAAGTTGTAACATAATGCATTTATGTTTAGCTTAGTGAGAACTTTCAATCCGGCCACATACAACATTTTTATATGAACAACACCACATGGGGATTCTAAATAGAGGAAAGAAACACCTGGCGAGGTTTAGGTAACCGTGAAGGGCAGCCTACATTTATTTAGTCAATACTCTGTATGGTGGTGGCATATGTTTTCAAGGGAGGGAGAATTCATGACTTATCACTTCCCTTAAATATGAATTGCATGAATATATACAAATTAGTGAAACTATCAACTTTTTACGCCAATTCATATTTCTAACCACTAGCCGGCCACCCACTAGCTAAG